TTGCCAATCTAAACAAGCTGCATAATGACCTGCCCATGCTTTAAACAGAACGGAACTACCTTTTCTAGTAGCATCTCTACTCCGCACCATAGTAGCAGGACTTGAGAACAAATCAGGCTCTACTCTTGTATAGAAGCTGTCTGCAGGTTGAATTGCTGATCGTTTCATCGACTCGTATTCACTTTTTAATTGATCATACATTTCCTCAAGTTTCCTTTTTTGCCTGTCAGAGGTTAATAGTTTATGAGTTTTCATGCACCACTATGATGGACTCCAGAAGTTGACAAGGTCACTGAGAGATTGGATAGAAATTGACCTGGATTTCTCCGAAAATTTTTCTTGCAGCTCTTGCTTGTCTTTAGACAAGCTCTCAAGCTCTTGCTCCATGATCTGGCACCTCTTAGCCATTTTCTGGTATGCAGTATGGATCTGCTCTATTTTCTCCGTGAACTTCTCTTGCATTGCTACACATTTCTGCCGACATTGACCTACTACTTTGTTCATCTTAGCTTGCATCTCCAAATCCTTTTGACCAATATAAAACATTACACTTCTGTATGCGCTCTTCATTACTGGGAATGTTGTAGGAAAATGAATGGGACAAACACATACTCTGAGAAACATATTCCAACTAAGAAATAGATTTAAATGAAACTTGCTAACAAGATATTCACATGCTCAAGTGAATAACTAGCCAAATTTATGATTCATGGTACTGAAAATATGAAATGAATTGCTGAGGATACATATCTGAGGAGATATCCCAGCCATGACCATCTGCAGGAGAGTGCCAAAGAATCAGTCATAATTTAAGCTAATATCACATACAAAGCCGATAGAGATGACAAAGGAGTTTTTCAGGAGTGGCTTCTTACATTTATCCATTCATCATTTGGATTTATGTCCACAGGTTTCATAAGACTGCGAGTGAAAGACCAAGTCATGTAAAAAAATAAAAATAAATAAGAGTCAAATCAAATAAATGCCATAATCAAATAAAATATAGAGCACAAACTTATCATTGACAAATTAGTTACTCCAAGAGTAAGGAACACCATAAAAATGATTTTCATATTCATATACAGCAGAATGCAACAAAATTCTCGACCTACTATAGACAACGATTACATATGTCATTTGCCTAACAAAAGATAACGCTACTCTCTCTCATGTTCAACTTCCATGCAACTCCTCATTGACAACCTACAAGCTAGTGGATGAACAAACGTTCGAATACCTTTTAGAGAGCACTTGATCACATATTGGGCAAGCAGCATCATTGCTGAGAATCTTATTGGTGTCTTCAGGGCCTTAAAAATAATTAAGGAAATCTTATCCTAGTGAATCAAGTCTCTGCAGTTTGAAGGAAAGAAATAATATGCACAAATGAAGGTATTTAATCCCCTTGGATACAAAAAAGGTGGCCACAAGTGGTGGTGACAGCCCGTCCATCCAACTCTCGCCAGCATGCATTACATCTCATTTCAGCCTTCAAATTTGATTTTTTAGTTCAATGTACATTGCGAGGTAATACCTGGAATTATAACAATAATCTTATGTAAATTAACTGATAAGTATGATCTATACTAAGTTCGACATTCTTATGCAATGCCAATTACTGAATTAAGAAAGTGAGAACCTAAGATAATAGTGCAGTTTATATCTCATAATACTTGGGAGAAAGACAGTCAGCAAACTGGATGTTGACAACTAAAATGTTCTTACGTGATGTCAAAGTCGTCCTACTGACCAACGGCACTTCACCAATTTGAATTCAGGCAGATTACAACTTGTCATGTTATAAGGTTGCCGAATGTGCATAATGTCTTTCCCAGATACAATATTTGAGAGAATTAAAAAAAATAACTTGGTAAAAACATGACCTGCGCTCCTATTAAAAATTTAAACAGCGGGAGTTGGCTGCCAAAGCAGAACCTTATAAGCAATTCTCAGTCTTCCAATAAACAAACATTGGGGTTATTAATCGAAGGATGTCATTTTTGCATGCATTTGAATATTAAAGCTAATCTATTCACCTCGGAGAAAGTACATAATAATTCACTGTCCAACAATAAAAGAAACCCACAGGAAAGGGAAGATGATGGATCTAGCATCTATAGCTGTTCAAACGTTAGGTAATATATAACAGGTAGATACTTTTCAAATCAAAATTTGGATTTTTCAGGACTATGATATAGCATGCAAAAACCTAAAAATTGGCATAGATAAAGAGGTTAACCTAAGTAAGCAAAATTAAAAAATGTTTTCGTTGCAAACAATATTATTAAGCATCCAACAAACATATGTAAAGTATTTAGCTAGAGATGAGTATAATCATCAAACCTCTACATAATCGTGAGCATATAAAATCATGACAAAAATGATGAATACAGCTGAGCAGCTGAGACATACAGTTGAGTTAAATTATGTGTTATTTATGTTGTGTTACGAATATTGGGGGAGAAAAGTAATGATTTCCAGTCTCCTTTACTTTATTGTTTACTTTTTCTATGAAATCAAACATTTAATTAGACTTGCCCGGACATCAACCACAATTCTTCATAAAAACTTCAAATTTCTAGTTCTCTGCACAATGATGGATCAAAAACCTGAAATTAGCTTTAAATTGAAAAAATAATTCGAAGATATTCACAATAAAATACAAAGAAGGCTTAGAATCAAATAACGACCTACCTAAAAAATGATTGTTCTCCGGAAGAAATTCAATTTACAAATCCGATTTACTGTAATTATATATAAAAGAAATTGAAACTCAGAAAAATTGTAGAATCGGAAATGGTAATGTATGAAACATAAACCTGGTCGGAAATATGAATTTGTGTAGTAGGGCTTTATACTTTTGTAACAGTAACAAAAATTCGAGAAACTGTAACGAAATATTCAAATGTGAACGGTTAATTTTGTACAAACCCTAAGATTAAGTCTTGAAAGTTTCTCTGCGCTTTTCTCTCACAGCTTCTCTTGATTGATTCGAGATCAACTAAAATGGCGGCAACAATGTGGTTTTAAAGTCGGAGCTTCATTTTACAGCGGGTGAGTATCACGGCGTCGTGGGCCAATTTTATTTTAGGAATAATTGCAGAAGAGGTCCCAAGTATTTATATCCAAACCTTTAAAGGCCCCAAACTTTTCAAAAACGTGTGGAAAAAGGATCTCTAGACAGTTTCTACCTAAAATTCGATCAAAAGTCAAACATTTACTCATATGTCCTGATTATAAAAATATGTATAGTTCAGTACGTGTGATGATTGACAAATTTTGGTCAACATGCACATATACAAAATTATTAATAATTTCTAGACATTTAGAGCATGTTTGTTATAACTTTTCTAAAGTTTTTTAAGAAAGTCAAATTTGATTATTTTCATCTAAAAGTTTTTTCTGATAAGTCAAAATACTTTCAAAAAATTGTTCAAAAAAAAACTTTTTGAGTCTCAAAAGTCAGTTTTGACCTTATAAAAGCAACGCAAGTTAGACCCTTAGTATCCGTTATCATCTCATAGGAATTGATTTAGTTCAATTTTTATTACAGCGACCTTAACCGAAGCAAGAGTAATAAGGTGTGTTTGTTGTGATGAACTTATAACCAAAATAAGCTACATATGCAATTATGAATGATTTAACTAAATTAAATGTAAATTATGCTAAATGAAAATTTATGTATGTAAAGAATGACAAACGTACTAGCATTACGATTTTCCATGTAATAATCATTTTTAACTTTAGCTTTATACTTTGACAACTCAATTGTATATTGAAGAATCAATGATCATATTACATTCAACAATCTCTCTCACATAATGTTGAACCCATTATCATATATGATCCGACTATATTTTTATGACGGATACGAACATATAAGAATGTATGAATTTTTATAAACATTTAAAGATTTACATAAGGAATAGCGGTATATCTCTATTTCTTATCAGACCCTATGATAATTTATATCATGTCGAGCCATTTTTCTTCGTTCAAATGCATCAAATAAACCATCATATTCACACAATTATCGTGCACAATAATCGTGGAGAAAAGAAATTCATATAAACAATTCAATATCAAAAACGTGTCTTTTTTAAAGTCAAATATGTAAAACTTAAAATTAAAAATTCATATTACATGGATCATCGTTCTCCTAATAAATATAAATCTAGCCTAGCATGGTGTAAATAAGAAAACAAAAAGAATATTGAAGAAATGACACCACCCAATTAATTATTGAATTGAATCTTCATGTATTAGGGTCAATCTTCACCTTTCCTACCTCATTCTATACTCTAAAACTCTTAGAAATATGTTGAAATGCGCATGGTGAACACCTATGGATGGCCCAAGGGGATTTAAAACAAGTCCCAAGATTGGTTTCCATATGAACTTTAATCAAATAAGGAAACCAAATTTTTTTTGCCGAAAATGAACTACGTTAGCACAATTCAATGCTATAGCATAGTTCAATGAATTTTGGCCCTGAAACTTGTTAAAAATACCTACGTGACCGCATGGAGTTTTATACTATGTGACACATGGAATTGGAAACTTTCCAAAAGTTGTAATTTAGTCCCCGAACTCCATTTTCTTGTTTCTTGACCTCTTTTTCATTACTTCTTCTTCCAATATTTCATGTCTTCACTAAATTGGTCATTGACTCTTTCACATCCTCGTTTATGCTTTCGGGTCATCTTTCGACCATCAGCACTTTGGTCTCTGAACTTTTGTTTTCTTCAATTTTAGTCATTTTTTCAATTTCACCACATTCATCAACGTTGTCCTATAAAATAAATTTATATAAAATTAAGTCTTCACATATTTATCAACAATTATCCATATTTTGTGGTCAAAATAAATGTGTAAAATGCACTTATCGCACGCTAGCACAGATATGGCCATAACATGACCTATTTTTCATTTACTTTCATGAAAAGAAAATTAATTTTTGAGAGTGCTAATAATCTTCAAAACAGTTGCACAAGTGATTAAATGTAGTTGCGTATATCGTATATGATTTTATGGTTTTCGTTTTTAGTAATTGCTTCTCCTTATATGAATCTCATTAGAGAATGACTGCATAGATAAGTTGAAACTTTAGCTTAATTGTGAAATCAAGAAAAAAAATTTAACTTTTGTTCGTCTTCCTTTGAAATAATTTCTTTTAATAATCATATTTACTTTTAATTACACATTCATACAATAAAATATTTTATATATGGACTTAGAAATTTTCCCTACATTTTAATTACACATTTTTCAAAAAATTATTATTTAGAACTTCCTTTTTTCCCCCACACTATTGACCTTTATTTTTATTTTTATTTTTCACAGTAGTGACATGGGCTTAATAACAACAGCAACTAGTGTCAAATTTTTTTTGATAATTTTATGGGTAATTATTAATTAAGAAAAATACTATGTGAACACCATCATATACATTACAGAAAGGCCAACATATCGCCCTCAGGGCACATCTCTAAGTGGTAAAAGGGGATGGTGGAGAAATTTAGTTTTGCTTGAAACTGTTGCGTCAAGAGTTCGAATACTGAAATATGGATTTGGCTCTTAGGTAGGTGCAAGTGTACAAGCAGCCTTCCACTCTATACCCTTGAAGGCATAACCTGCGATTTACCTCCCTCACGATATTTCAGAATAGGGACAATGGAAGACCTTAAGCCTGGGGTTGAACTTTTTTTTTGTTTTTTTTCCAAAAGGCCAACATATTCTAGTAATTAAATGCTCCGTATAGCCAACAGACATTTTACCTTTCTCTTTACTGGTCTCTTGAGAAACAATTCAGTGATTGGTTGGTATGAATTTTGTTAATTAATTTTGATTTTTTGATTAGAGAAGAATTAAAAAATGACGAATGTAATAAACGATGAAAAAATTGATTTTAATTGTATTTTAAACTCTACCAAACATGCTATTGAAATAAAAAAATGAAGTCGGTATCAGTATTCAGGACAAAATTTTAGATCCTCTCCTCGCCTTCGTTTCAATTCATGTGTTTTTTGTTTTACCTATAGATCTCCGCCAGATACTGGTTAGTTAAGTGGAATTGGGGGTTTGGAGTATGAAGATTCAGTGCAGCGTGTGTGAGGTGGCGGAGGCGAATGTTCTGTGCTGTGCCGACGAGGCGGCGTTGTGCTGGGCGTGTGATCAGAAGATTCACGCTGCAAATAAGCTGGCCACCATGCACCAGCGGGTTCCTCTCTCTAGCTCGTCTTCGCAGATGCCCAAGTGTGATATCTGTCAGGTATAAAATTTTCTTTTAGTGTTGTCATCTGTTTAGTTGTTTTGGAAAGAATAGTAAAACGATTCAGATAATCACTGTATAATGATAAATATATCGGGAGCGTGCTCGCTTATTTAATTAATTAATACCGTGTTATTGTGGACCCGTATTTCGTGGTTATATTAGTTATTACTAATCTATTTAACTGTAGTTCTGCTTTTACGATGGGTATGCATTGATTATTTTAATGCCTTTCTGATGACTTGTACTAGTGGAATTGTGGGGATATTTTGATTTTTCACTTATACTTCTTTTTTTTGTCTGGTATCCCATTTCTATTCTGGATTACGTCAGTAGGAGGGAACAGAGGATTTAGGTGGGATTAGCGAATGAGAAATGGAAGTTCTGAAGTCTCTTCCCCTCGTGAGGAGAGAAATTCCATGAGTTGGCTTGAGTTCTTAAAAATTTGGAACAGAGGATTCCTTGGGAAGTATCATTTGGAGAAGAAGAGGAAATGTTTTGTGCTTCATCTTTTAAAGTTGCAGTTTCGAAACTATTTGCAAGTTTCAATTGATCATGATTTTGAGTGGAACATAAAGAAACTGGTGTTCATTATGAAGAACAATACCTGCTTATGTATAATTCTCCGACACAAGAATTCAGCACATTTCGGAAACTTAAAACTATGTTCCTTGTTTGTAAATTTGGCAGTAATTCTGAATGTACTTCCTAATGATGATTTTGCTTGAGCCAGGCTTGCTCTACCTAGAAATTTTCTTTTTCTTGTTTTGTAAATAGCTCAAATTTGTTCTCTCTCTTCTCCCCACCCACAAAAGAAAAAAGAAGCCCACGATTGTTCTGCGGGTTTTCAGACTTTGACATATAATGACATCATTTTCAACTTTATCAAATACATCTTATTGAAAAATAGACGACCAAGCTATTATTCATCCATTAATCTTGATTTGGCTGTGCGATCGATTCCATTATAGAAAATACTCATAACTTCCTACATGTCACACAAAGCAAATTCACTTTAAATATAACTACACAAGTTCTATCGACTTATAATGCTCAAGTTCTAATTAGCTTTGTATCCTGGTTTCTTGTACAAATGATTCAGCACATGATTGATTTTTAACTCTCAAGCTTTTAGTTGGAGTCACTCAAGAAAGTACCTCTACTTATCTGAGACTATGTCGTTGTTTTTGAAGGATATGAATACTCTTAAGCCTTTTGAAGTTCCAAGAAATGCTGCTAAATTCAGCTGGTTGTGTTCGTTTAAAATTGCATGGGTCCTTGTATAGCCGTTATTTCCCTGGGAGGGGTTTGGGATTGTTGATAGGGGTTAGACTTATTATCTCCCCTGGTAGGATCATGATTAATACGCATCTTCGTCAGTACAAATTGGATATTGACTTCCAGTGTTATATATTTAACTAGAAATCCACATAAAAACAACCTTCATATTTTCAAGAAATGTTGAATAGAATAAAAGACTTCAGCTAGGAATTTGGCAGAATGACTGAAAGAGAAACTTTATTGAATTGCACTGCTTGTTCTTTGTACACTTAACCGGTATATATAGGCACTATATACTCCTATATGAAGAGATAAATGAATATTATACACTTCCATCAGCATGTGGGAAAAACAGAATTCCAGAAATGCTGCTGCAGAAAAAAACAGAAAATTAACTACAAGATTCTTCTAGAAAATCCTTCTGCTGAATGTGCTGCTGACTAACGTGATTCACCAGCTTGGCAGCTTCATCAGCATCTAATACATATCCTTCAATTTGAGCAAGCTGCAGTTGAATCACATTTAGTAGTGGTCTGAGTGACATCAAAGGGGAAGGTAAAGATGAAACCTTTGCAATGATTTGTAGGACTTGGCTAATACAGTGTTTTTGGTATAATTTTGATGAAGACAAAATATAGTTGAATTGATGAGAACAGGGACACAATTGTTTGTTTCCAGGTAGGTAGGGTTATTACGAGAGTACCATACACGTCATTATTATTTCTATTGTGTTTGGGTAGGATTATTACGAGAGTACCATACACAACATTATTATTTCTATTGCCATGTTTGGGGGGTGGGGGTGGAAGAAATTTTGGTCACATGGGATTTATGTTAAGATTCAGTGGATTTGACTTCTCCTCTTTAGTGGCCAAGGATTGACGTTGAGGCATATAATCATATCTTAACCTTCTAATTTCTGCTCGACTTGGAAGGTTGATTTCTCAGGTGTTAGCTGGGTATTCAATCACACTCACCAGGATGGTTTTCCTGTTTTGTTTCCATCTATGACATCCCCAAATGTGCAAAAAGTTTTTTTAGTTTTGTCCATCAGCATTCTTCATGCTTGGACAATTTATTTGGTAACAAGGTGTCTCTTGGTTTATTTCTCTTTATTGGATATCAACTGTCTTTGCTCTCTTCTACAAAAATTTGTGCATGAAGTGTGTATGACTTCATTTTCATGTAGATGGATGAGTAGATTTTGATACCAGTTACCTGATCTATTCACAAATTTTTAAATTATAATGTGCAGTTGCAAAGTTCATTTTCTTGAAGGTGACTGAGGAATTACTATGCTTTGCAGGAAACAGTTGGATATTTCTTTTGCATTGAGGATCGAGCTTTACTTTGTCGGAAATGTGATTTTTCCATACACTCGGTGAATTCATTGGTATCAGCTCATCAGAGGTATTTACTCACTGGAGTAAAAGTAGGTCTTAATCCTACGGAACCTGGTTCATCATCATCCCCAGGGAAATCACACACTAATGAGAAAGTCACAGAACCGGAACCTAACTCTCTTGCTAAGCGAAGTACCCAATTGTCATCAAATGGTCAACATAATAAATGTTTACCAGCCCAAGTCAGGGAAGGTGGGAATTTTGCATCATCGAGGCTGAGTTTTGAGGGAGGCACTACACCTGGAAGTATGTCCATGTGGCAGATAGATGATTTTCTTGGTCTTAGTGATCTCAATCAGAGTTATAATTTTATAATTGGTGGCTCATCCAAGGTATGATTTTGAGTAGTGCATTGATTAATGTAATTCTATTAATTATATGCTGGTTTTATTTCAAATCTTCCAAGGATTTTTCACTTGGTAATTTTTTGCCATGGTTTCATGTGCCTAAGTTGGAGCATACATGCTTAACCCAATATGTCAAAACGAGTTCATAGAAATGAACCAGGGATAGCAAGGTTGTTTTTGAATACTGGGTAAATTTATTTTTCCATGATCAGGTAAGAGTAGTCGAATTGAGAAAAGTTATTGTTTCTTTCACCCAAAAGAAACTGATAACATAGACTGAGGAACCACAAAATTTCCTCTTGGAGAAGCACATTATATATTCCACAATGAAGTTCTTGTCTGAATTAATCAAGAATTCACTATTTCTGGAATTTTGGATGGTCAATACTATGAGCTAGTGAAGCTTGGATAATTAGGACGGTTCATTGATGACTGTTTGTTTTGTCAAAGTACAGGCTTGCTGGAGTGTTGAATCTTCACGATGGAGAGAACCAGTTAAATACATTCCCCCCGTTTGGCCCCCTTTAAAACTTTCAACCACACAATTTTCAATAAAATAATATTACACTCAAATCGAAAACTTTTTAACCACATAATCTTAAAAAAAGTACTATTCCCCCCATTATAAATTCAAATAATGGGGGCCAAATGGGGGCATAATATAATTTATCGCATTCATCGAAAATTGTGATAAATGATCTTCTGTGCGACAAACTCATTAGCTTTCCTCTCATCCCACTGTGTATTTTGGTGGCTTGTACCTTTTTGCCCACCCCAACCCAACTACCTTCCACGACTAGGGTAGAGGGCTTGGAATGGGGACTTGTATGTATTCCAGTAAGTAGTGATTCGTGCAAGTCATATTGATTTGCTAGCAGATTATCGGTATTTGGCTTGAAAAGTTCCTTCAACTCAATATCAAATTTATGTTAACGTAAATTACCTTAAAATGCCAATAACTTATAGGCCACTTTGATGTGGGTTTCTTTCACAATTACATCATGAGAATGAAATCCAGGTTAGCCCGAGCCAATTGGTTGGGACTTGGAAGACAATTTTGGCAGGACAAAGTATTTTATAATTTTTGTTGGGATCTGTATCGGCGGTCCACCTCAGCCACACGCTGCCCATTCTTGTGATCTACTGGCAGACTGCAGTATGAGAAATGTGGAGTGGGGATCTGATAACTTTTGTTGTTTTTGTCGTCATTACTATTAAGACAAAAATGGTGTTTTCCTCAAATAAGCTCCACATCTGCATTAGCAACTCATTTGGCTCCATGTTTCTTCCTATGATTTATAATGAGTGTTGAATTCTAGTGAAGAGAAGGGAGAATGTGGTACATTGTAGTACATCTTCATGATTTTTGTTGAAAGCTAAAACAACTGGAAAGAATGTGGATGTGGCTGATAAACTGCAGTAGTCAGGATTATCTACTTTTTGGAAGTTCCTCTTGGTCGACAGTTTCAGTGGCATGCATTTTAAGTTAACAGTGTCATTTACAAGTTTCGAAGCATTTTTTGAATCTAGGATGAATGTGAATATTGTTTTATGGATAGAAGTGCTTCAATATCTGATGCTATAAGTATCTTGTGTGTGTTTTGAAGTGCCAATGCACTCCCAAATTTTATGTCTTACTTTGATTTAATCCTATCAGGCTGATAGTGGAAAGCTGGGAGATTCAGATTGCTCCCCCTTTCTACGAACTGCTGATGAAGATCTGGAGGGCGATATGTGTCTAAGTCAGGTACCAGATACGTTTCAGGCAGTACGACAGATTCCTTCTCTGCCTACAGCATCGGGGCTTTATTGGCCAAAGAATAAACAGAAGCGTTCTGATTCTGCAGTCTCTGTGCCAGACATAGTCTCCTCGCCCTTGCAGAACTTTCATCGTTAAAAGTGGAAAAGACAATTTTAATTTGTTATCTGATCTTTGTTACTTTAAATAGCTGCATACATTAATAACCCTGATGCTTTTAGTCTAAAAAGTGTGTGGCCTTTCTAGAGCTAAATTGTTATAGAAGTTATTTTCTGCAAGTAGATATATAGTTGGTCTAAAAAGTGTGTGATCTTTGTCGCAACTTTGATTCTCTTAGTGCTACGTTAAGATATGATCCCGACTGCAGTTGTCTCCTCGATGTTGCTCTAATTACCTCTCCTATTTTGTTGTGACCTTTCAAACTTGGCAAAGAAAGAGTCTTAATAATCAACCAGGAAAAAAAAATGCAAAATAATAAAGATAAGACTAAGCCTAGCAAAGGTCATGCCACAAGAACACATCAAGTTTTCACACACACAATGCTTTCGATGGGAGACCATTCCACACCTTAAATAACCCTGAATGAAAGTGATAATCTAGTCGAACTAAAATTTGAATACAAGAAAGCAGAAAAACCAAGTGTCTTCACATCCTCATTTAATTCGGCATGAATATTCATTCAATGCACAAACCTTTCTTCTGGTGCATTTCTTCATCTGCAATATGAAAAACAAAGTTTCAGGCTAATAGAAGTATGTACTTTTACATTCTGTACAATGAATTTAATATGGCAATGCACCTGGTTTTTGAGCTTCCAAGAGTAAGCTCGAGACCATCTGAACCACACTCCTCGTGGATCCTCTCTCCTTCCCATGGCTTTACAAGGCCGGTTGAGTTGCTTCCAAATGCAAATTCATTTGAAATCGCTTCGGCCATAGGAACATCAGCAGTATGATCGGAACCAGCAGCAACTGCAGGGGAGCAGGTCTCACTTTGTCCTGGAGTACACATGATAGATCCACCTCTGGTCAAATCTTTCACTTTGAAGCCAAAAGGATTTGAAGAAACAAGGCTAAATGTAGGAGAAGTCGGTCCACTTTGGGGGATTTGAACTGCAAACCATTTTGAATCGGGAAGAATCGGTCGACCAGGGCTTGGTGGCGTAGATGAGGGAAAGAGTGAGTTGTGGGGCCCTACCCATCCAGAGCGAGCAAAAGAATCATCCCAGTCAGTCCTCATTCGTGGGGTTCGAGAAGTTGGGGAGCTCACAGGAGGGGTAACAGGAGCACTAATAGAACCTCCATGCATATACTGGTGTAGAAACTTTGAGGATGAAGCAGATGATGCAGAAGAGAGGTTTCTGAGCCATGGGATTAGGGAATTTCCATCTCCATTTATGCTAGCAGCATACGAGGAAGAACCTGGGCTCGGGAACGAAGAAGAACCTGGGCTCGGGTTGTATGAAGTGCACGGACTTGGTTGGTAAGACGAGCAGGGAGTTACTGATGCAGAACCACCTATAATATCCATATTCTCGACTGGCTTGCATCCCTGATGAAAAAATGGAAAATAATTAGATACATTTAAGAATATATGAATATTTAGTATGTTAGGATAAACTTTCACCGTTGTCCACTTATCAGGTGTAACCTTCTGAAATCCATCCGATGGTTCTCTCAACTCTCAGCTCATCTATAACCAGTGTCACAATGGCAGAATTTACTAATAATTGACCTAAAAAAATATTAAAGATTATAAAGGATTTCGGCAGCCTCCCAAGGTCAATATGATCCATTCATTAAGTGAAGATAAAGAGGGAATTGAAAGAAGATTAGTAGAAGAATGAACATTGGTGCAAGACCCTACAAAGCACATACTAGCCTTCACCTAATAGTTGTAACATATGGAATTCACAAAAATAACAAAAATTCGTCTGTACAATGTGGCAAGCAAAACCTATCGTAAAAGCTTTCAAAGATGACAGCACAAAAGAATACCTTTGAGCTGAAATATAGTATCAAGCATCTTCAAATTCCTTAAATTTCTAAAAAAGAAAAACTTGTATTCCCACCTCCAACATATTACATCAATGAACAGCATCTTTATTGAAGAGAAACAAACGCCTTGTCGGAATATTGGTCAAATGACAATGAGTGATTTTGGAAGTAATGGAAATGATTAACCACAAGAAAAATAAGTAAAAACAAAAAAAGGAACAAAAACGGTGAAGCCGAAAAATGGCCTGGCGTTTTAAGGCCTTGCAATTATAGTGGTCATTTTGTTGAATTGGGCGGGCACAGGCTTTCACTGGGCGGCCACCCAGTACATAAATTTGATCGTTTGCAATTTGAATTCTGGTGTCGTTTTGAAATGTTTCACACTTTTTGGGCTTGATTTTTGCACATTTTCGTGCATGGTGATTGTAATTTTATATATATCATGTTGAACAATATATCAGAAACATCAAATCCATTCATCAACATCCAAAATCAAAGATCAAATCAGTTTTTTACAATTTTGTTCTTTAATTCCTTTTTCCAAGTTTTGATTGCTTGATTCATACTTGAATTAAGGTTTGTTTACTCCGGCAAACTATTTGTCATTGAAGCCTTCAAACACTTACTCCGGTGAAGGAAAATATCGTTTGATGATAGCGATTCATAATTGTGTTCAAACATTCCATTTCGGCGATTTCTGTTGCTGGTTTTATTTTTGTTCTTCATCAATTTTGTTCGACAATCTCAAACAATACTTTTAACATGAAAAACGAAACAGCCATGACCACAATAAAGATGAATCAAGACATTGTAGAACTTGATAGATTCGAAGGGTCGAACTTTACAAGATGGAAGTACAAGTTTAAGTTTCTTTTTACAACCTTAAACATCTTTTATATCTTGGATCCAAACTTGGCGTCATTGTCGGAACCAAACCTAAATGGCACCGACGAAACAAGGGCAAAAAGGAAGAATAGAAAAGAAGACGAATTGATATGTAGAGGACACATTCTGAATGCTCTCTCCGATCGCCTCTATGATTTCTATACAAATAACACCTTGGCAAAGGAGATATGGGAATCGTTGGAAACCAAATACAAGGCCGAGGAGGAAGGCACCAGAAAATTTCTTATTTTTAAGTAATTTGATTTCAAGTTTTTTGGATAACTTGCCTTTGTTAGGATAAGTCCATGAATTGCAAATCATTGTCAATAAAATGAAGGTCGTAAAGATAGATCTTCCCGAAACTTTCCAATTTGGTGCAATTATTGCAAAATTGGCATCTCCATGGAAATGTTATAGGAAGAAAAATATTCACAATTCCCAAGATTACTCTTTAGAAGAAATTCAAAAACATCTATGAATTGAGGAAGAGTCAAGGGCACGAGATGGGAATGAACATTCTCATGAGAGCACTTCCAAAGTCCATGTCGTGGATCAACCAAACAAATATAACAAAGATTCCAAATCCACAAATCCCAACAAAGATCACAAGAACAAGAAGAAATCGTGTGTGGCAAACTCGAACATTGTGCTCGAGATTGTAGATATTCCAAACAATCAATCCAAAAAGGCAAAGTGAACTCCATTGACCACATTGAGAGTCTAATGTATGTTGTGCGGTGTACAGAACCCGACATAACATTTGTAATTAGTAAACTTAGTCGGTTTACTAGCAATCCAAGTAAAGAACATTGGAAGGCTATCGAAAGGGTTCTTGATTATTTGAAGAAAACCAAGGTCTCTAATATTTTAAGTTTCCGGCAATATTAGAAGGATTTATCAATGCTAGTTGGATATCTAGTGTTAGTGAGAATAAATCAACCTAGGTTGGGTATTTAACCTTGGAGGAGGTGTGATTTCTTGGAAATCCAAGAAACAAACATGTATTATTCATTCAACTATGGAATCCTAACTAAAATAGGAAAAGAAGCTGAATAGCTAAGGGATTTAATATATGAAATTACATTGGAAGAAAGGAATAATTCTTCCATATCTATCTTGTGTGATAGTAAAGCCACTTTAGTTAGAGCATATAATGAAGTATATAACAGTAAGTCTAGACTTATGAGTCTAAGATATGACTATGTGAGGAAATTAATCAAAGATGGAATAACTTCATTTACTTATGTGAAGTCAAATAAGAATTTGACTGATGCGTTCACTAAACCGCTCACAAGGGAATTAGTGTGAACAAGTCATTCGATAAGTGAATAGATTCAACACTTATCTTCTTTTAAAACCCTATCCTAGGTCACAGGTGCTCGTTGTCACTTATAGGAGGGTTAAGTTTCTATAACTCTTAATAAAGTACAGATCAGTAGATCAAGTATCTCTAAAAGTGACAAAGATATTGCAAGAACTTTACGTATATAAATTTCAAGGTGGTGCCGCTTCAATAAAGAGTGGGAGTTTCTTTCTTAAAAGTTTATGAATAGAAGAAGTGCCAAACCATAAAAGACCTAAACGGGATTGTGTGGAATTTTGATCATTTGATACTTTTGTGTGTGATTCCACCGGTATCATCACAAGGAATAATAGGTTCAAAGCTTTCGTGCTACCTATGATTTCAATGATTACTTTGTGAGATTTATACTATGATTGGATTCATATCGAAAGATATCCGTACTCTATGCATAAGTGTCATTCAACTTAAGTTTTAGCTCATTTTACATTTGAACAAGTGAGAGATTGTTGGAATATTGTTCAAATAACAATAAGGAGTGATTTTGAAAGTGATGGAAATGATTAACCATGAGAAAAACAAGCGAAACTAAAATGAGAACAAAAAGCGATGAAGGCTAAAAAATGGCCTTGGCGGCCGTCCGGCCTTATGTTGCAATTACAGTGGCCATTTTGTTGAACTGGGTAGGCACCCGATTTTTTACTGGGCATCCACCCAGTTCAAAAATCTGACCGTTGCCGATTTGAATTATAGTGTCGTTTGAAGTGTTTCACACTCTTTTGGCTTGGTTTGTGCACCTTTTAGTGTGTGTGTGTGTGTAAGTGGTTTTCATGTTGAAAAACATATCACAAACATCAAATTCATTAATCAACATCCAAAATCAAAGTTCAAACCAATTTTTTACAATTTTGTTATTTAGTTCATTTTTTCAAATTTTGATTGCTTGATTCATACTTGGATTAAGGTTTGTTTACTCCTACAAACTATTTGCTATTGAAGCCTTCAAGCACTTAAGCCGGTGACGGCAAATATCATTTGATGACAGTGATTTATAATCATGTTCAAACCTCCCATTTTGACGATTTCTTGTTATTGATTTTATTTTCATTCTTCATCAATTTTGTTCAACACACCTTTAATGAGCTATCCAAACAAATAATTCTCATTATCCCACATGTTCGTTTACAGTTCTTAGAACCCCACCAAGATTATTTTACAACTCAAGCACAGGCACTTCAACCGAGAGAGGTGAACTCGAATTGCTTCACATAATGAATAGGATTATTCATGTTCATGCGTTCTAAAAGTACAAATACAATTCTCGACCTCGAGATTTTCAAATATTTGAGGTTGTAAATTAATCCATAAAGGGATTTTAGTTAAAGCACATGGACATCATTGTACTCTCATTTCAATGAAGCACCGAATCTTCGTAATTCACGCGTCAACAAAGATAAAAAGAAACAGAGAGAAAAGTGAAGAAAACACAGTTTATATATACTTTTTATACAGGTCCGAACAGATCTAAAGTACAATGGCGAAGGAAAAAAAAATCGTAAAGCACAAGAATCCAACTCTATGAATATCATGACCTGGTAAAAAAACAAAATTCACAAGGGATATAAAAATGAAGTAGATATAGAAAGGTACCTTGCGATAGGTGGTGCCGTCAGGCTCGACGGTCCATCCTTTCAATGAAGCACCGAATCTTCGTAATTCACGCGTCAACAAAGATAAAAAGAAACAGAGAGAAAAGTGAAGAAAACACAGTTTACATATACTTTTTATAGTTCCGAACGGATCTAAAGTACAATGGCGAAGGAAAAAAATCGTAAAGCACAAGAATCTAACTCTATGAATATCATGACCTGGTAAAAAAAAAAAAAATTCACAAGAGATATAAAAATGAAGTAGATAAAGAAAGGTACCTTGCGATAGGTGGTGCCGTCAGGCTCGACGGTCCATCCCGCCTCATTGCAGAGGGCCTTAAGGACCTCATTGTTGTCGCAGTGTTTGGGGAGCTTGTAGTTGCCATACATACGTAAGCCGGCAAAAATCTTGGCTGCTATAGCCCTCCTCCGCCTCTCCCTCCGTTTGTTGTTCTCCCTCTCCTTCCACGTCGGCAGCCGCGTCCCTGTCATTCTCGCAACACCACCTTAATTAACAGCCCCCTTTTATCTCACTCAACCAGCTCGCGATCTCATTTCTAGACTAAGCAGTGTCCACAGATCAGACAGCAAAAGAAAAAAAAATCAGCAAATTCCCAAGAAAAAGCTTGGTTAAATGTTTATTTAGGGCAGAATTTGTGTTGAAAACTGCCGTTGAACAACGAAGTGGAGGTGGCAGAATTGCAGGGTAATTGGGGGCTATGAATTTGAAGACTCATATGATTAGTGTAGCGACGACTGAGGACTATGCCTATGACTCGCCAGTGGGGCCTTTGATTCATTGCCATAAATACCCTTTCACTTTTTTAAGTTAAAAAGTGAAAAAGATAGAATGCAAAAAAATAAAGTTGATTGAAAGAACGATGAACGTCTTTCAAAAAAATAAGCCAAACAAAGCCTAAATCATCATTTTTTTTTTCTTTCTCTAGAATACAAATACTACCAAAACTGCTAAGAACATTTATTTGAATTTATTAATAATAGTTCAATTGACATCATCGTCAACCCCACAAGACGAATATTTATGTGTATCTTCATCAATTTTGACATTTCAATCATGATATAAGTTGATAAAATAATAACATTAACCACGTAATATTTTCCAATAAGTTATTCACGTTTTAATCATAAAAGTATTTTTTATTTATGGTAGTCCAACATGGCCAACATCTCACTGCCATTTGCAGAAATAAAATTGATAAGTACGACTATTCATCATCATAACATTCGAAGTATAATATGAAAAGAAGTTGACAAAAACCCAAACACAAAATATTATTTCCACAACGTACTAGAGTAGATTTGGCTTAGATTTAAAGTACGTCAAACTTACAAGCATGTTTGAGTACAAAATTTAACTTTGACCATGGTCTAATTGCTTTTTCATTTTTTACTCAAAAGTTAATAAAGTGAACAACTTGTTCCAAGGGCATATATGAACTTTTGCATTTTTCCTGCCATCACCACCGAAAACAGAAACAGCGACAGAAGTAAGTGGGATAAGAGGGACCACTTGCCGGAAGCGTGACTTGCTGACATCATATCAACGTGGCACTACTTCACCTGCCGCCGCACGTGGCGGACGCTCCACCTCCGCTATCGGCGTGGGAGACGAGTCAGTGCCCATTTTGCTCTCACTTTCACGTGACCCCTATACATTAGACTGACTACTATAGGCTTTCGTTGCACCCTATAAAATACTCCACTGGCCCCACCATAATCTCTTATAGTTAAGCTCCCTTTTTATTTTTATTTTTTTTTTAATAAAAACTGTGTAGTTACAAAATATAATAAAAAGTGTCGTGTTATTTATTGAATCATGTTACCTATAAAACTTTTGTTGATAATTTCGCATCTGACAACATCATATTAGCCCTGATTGGTCTCCATTAAATTCAATTACATTACATTATATTTTTATCTCTCCTATTTTTAATTACACAATCTTCCATAAAATAATATTACACGTAAATCGAAAATTTTTCCTTCTTTTTCAACCACTCATTTTTTAAAAAAATATTATTCCCTCAATTTTCATTTTCAGGTAATGGGGATCAAACGAGGACTTAATCAATTTTAAAAATTATTTTTTAAATCAACAGTCCAAATTTTGATAACACTAAGGTTGCCAATACAGATTGTACAAATAGCTTCTTCATTGCACGATTGGATAAAAAATCACGCTACTTGTAACCTTGAATCACAACTTCACACTTGATAGTATCACATTCATCCATTTTAGAAATTGCTAAAAACAATTTTTTAATTGACGACCCTAATTTTGATTGGACGTCAAGATTGTCAAAAAGGATTGGGCAAATAAATTAATTCAAGACATTTTATACCGATTATCCCTTAACAAACAAAAGGGTACAGGGAATCAGACAGAAATTTGGACCTACATTATGGGAATGGTGAGGAAATCATCAAGTCATCTTCAAAATAGCACCATGGCCCAAACGGGGAAGACTTTAATTGGAACTCCTATAGTCTTTTTAGGCCTCATTCGTATACACAAGGATCAAACAAAACTCTATAATTATCTCTGAGCTTTGATCAACTTGATCATAACATTTATCAGTATTCACTAAAAGTCAAACATTCTTCTCCTATTCTTAAAGCTCAAATCAGCCAAAAAATAACAACTGTGCTACCTACACAGACCCGTTTGCACAGAATCTGTACAAGTGCACACACATTGGGGTGCTCCACCCTCCATGTGAGAGCCCCTGTACAAGCCCTGTGCAAAGGGGCTGTGCAGGGGGCTTAATACAAAAAATAATTGCCTCAACACTCAACATTAGCTAATGAATTGCGAACAACATTTTTCTTAATATAATAGATGGCACCATGGAAGCCTTGCATTGAAATACATGAATTGAGCTGAGATCATCTCATCAATTTTCAATTCTCGAAAATCAGCTATCCTCATTCTTAAACAAGCAGATGAACTTTTATTCTTCACGATCCCCTAAATTCAATTCAACTGAAAATCAGCTTATACGCAAATAACGATAGATCCAATTTTAATGTAATAAATTAATTAGAAAGATTAATATTACCACAACCAAGGGGCAGGGCTGAAGGGGAAAATGAGATGTGAACTGGAAATATGGGAAGTTGATTTGGGAAAGAAATTACTTTATAAAACAATAGCATTATGCTGTATTTTGTAAGCTCTACTGTACAGTAGTAGATAATGATATCATGAAACAAAGTGCCTGTTTGACATCACACAAGACCAAAATTTTTTCCCTACCACACATTCTCCTAAATATTACTATTTAAAACTCATTCCCCCCCCCCCCCCCCCCCCCCCCCACAATCCAACCAA